AATCTGAGGACTGGATCTTAAAGTACACCCACTCCTCAGACATAGACACTCGTTGTTCTGTGAGGACACCTGTTGATTTTGTAGCGCTGCAAAGAGCACAACCTGGAAATAAACAAAACCATGACTAATTAGCATAATACAAGTTTTTACCAATAATATCTGCAGAAAAGAGCCAAGATTTACTCAAAAGTATTTAATAAACTGCTTACAATATTTACATCATGGCTAACAAATGCATGAAAAGCAGATAAAAGGAGAAAAATGTTCCACTTTTTCAATAGCTAATTATTGGACAACTACTGATAACTAACATATAGTAATATAATGGTGCTAGGCGCTAACCCTTGGAATGAATAAGTTTATTGATACAAACCAATGCTACTGGCATAAATCATTAATAGTACAAACAGTGGATTCACGCGAGTACTGATTTCCGGTATTTTTAGATAACCCAAATTATCAAAAAGACGAGCACAAACACACGAGGTACACACTGTAAAGGCGTGGTATTATCGACTTGTAGTTAATGGGTTCTTGACGAGACCGTAGAGAATTGTCACTCACACGCTACCAAGAGAATCATCGACAGAAAAGTGTTGATATCAGATCCCATTCTTACAAGTCGAAACGAAAAGTAGTTTCACACAACCTGGTAGGTTGAGAGGTGACTTTTATCCAAAGTCTGGTCTATATAGTGGACTAGGTTCTCAACGAAGTTCGGTAACGAATCGTATGTTAGGCTCTTTCGTCTTCTCGGTCTTTTTAACTCTTGATTTTTACCGTACTAATACTTTTAGAAACTTTTGAAGATACTCTACCCCCTTCTCACCTCATATCCGTGGTAAGCTTGTTATAACCTAGGATATAAACATATAGACATATTAGAAAATATATAAAAGTGGTATAAAACATTGTTAAAGTTAAACCGTTAGAATTACGGGGTGACAATTTTTTTTCATTGTAACCCTTACATTTGTATTTTAAAACGATAAACTTGACCAGTTATTTTACTCACTGCCTATTTATAAAAAAAGATTAAAAAAAGGATGAAAAAAGTACTTACACAAATTAAATGTATTACTACATTAATTATTTCTATGTTTTAATTGGAAATCTATAAGTAAAACTAGCCACATGGTCATTACGAAAAAAACTTTTTTATGTGATATTAAGTTATAAGATTTTTGATAAACTGAATAATAATCATATAATATCGCGACTAGGTATGATTATTATTTACTCCCTGACAATTGGATTGTTCTAAACGATGTATCTAATAGGTCAATATGTGGTTGTTAAAAAATAGGGGAGGTGGGTAAATGTTAGTTTCACTTATTTTTCTAAACGTGAATTATACGGGAGACGTAAACTGGGATTTAGTAATCACTCACGGTACCCGTGGGCCGTCCTGGCTTGGATTAAACTCCTACTGAACTGAGTTCTCGGTTACTTCCCTCTAAGACTTGTAGGGGTAGTTGTACGTCACAATAAAACAAAATCCTCATATTATTAATAGAAATACCGACCAACCAGAGGGTGGGAGATCGCCCAATATCGTGTTTCATACAGGGTATTCTATTTAGGTGGTAGGGGCGGACCTAAAAAAAAATGTTGACTCATGACACATGTAATATAAACTATTGTATATTTATAAATTATCATTATGCAAAGTATCCCTCTTTCATCTTCCAGTTTAATATCTTTATATCTTATACTTTATAGTATTCTATGACATGTCACTAGATGTGTTATTTTGTCAAAATACGGCCTTACAGGTTTCTATAATATCCTCCTACCCGTTTTTTTCTGTTTGATTAATCCAGAATAAATTTGTAATTCTTATAGAAATCCAATTCCCAGAAGAAAACTATTCTTTTTGAAACCCCCGTAGATGTCTAATTTATAGTTGGACTGTTTCAGAATTTCAGATTTATAACGAAAGAGACGTTACAATGAATACAACTTTCCGTGAAATAAAATTGACTATAATATGTGTAATTAATATGAATAATACTTCTTATTCTTTACACGTCTTAAACATGTCAAATTACCACCTCCATAGAACTTTCCCTACAACGTTTATAGTTAATATGTCATAAATTAATTGATAATCATTCTGCCTACTCTAGATTAGACCCATTAGTCAAGTCACCGACACATAGCGTTACTAGCAGCTTTACAGGGAATGTCCGGGATTGCAGACAAGAGCCACTGAAATAAAAACTTTAAGTCAAGGACATCTTGCCGGATTTTTCGGCGTTCTGATTTCTTATTCTGCTTATATATATTTTGTTCCTATTAACCATCAACAACAACTAATTATATGTCACACAATAAATCTTTATTTATTGTTTAATCTTCCTTTTTGTATAAATTTTTCTCTCGTCTAAAGTCATAAAACTCGAGACTCGGGTAAAGAAAAAGGAATCGCCTGACCGTTTTTTTTTCAGTCTGTAATTACTACAATTTTATTTTTGTTATTAGCACCGAACCATACCTATTACTTAATACAAATCACTAGTGTTCGAAGGCCTGAAGGACACAAGATAAGTGCGTAAAGTTACACCTATTTCAGCACAGTAAACTATCGCGGTCTGAACTTCTCTCCACCACAACCCTCGGTCACATCCCTCGCCTACCTCGCCACACACACCCTCTTATAATTCTTCAACTTCTGTCTGCTCGGCGACGTAAGACCTACTCGACGTCCCAGCCTACCGTGTACGTCATCTGGTCGGGTCCTCCACTCAACCGTCATTCAGACGCACTCTACTGCCCTCGGACCTGGTCTTTGCGACGCAGAGAAAGATTCCATCGACCCCTGCATAAGGGAGGACTACAACATTTCTCACCAAGGACGTCGTCAGGGCCCCAACATCGTCACTACAACTCACTTCCTCAAACAATAGATCCCAGTGATGGCAGTCTAAGAACGTCAGACTCAGCCCCTTGGCGTCTCCACGGCCTACAATAATACCAATCCGTTCTCACCCTGTTATGAAACGGCCCTCCTTTTTGTCAAGTCAGAACAGTTCCAACTCAAACTCCACCACTCGTCTGTAGGTGACTCTCTAACAGACCGATCTGTTCGTCTCTCACGCACGCTGTCTCCCGCGCCTTTCCATAAAATCTTACCCACCACGACTCCACGACTAGTCACTTGTGATAATGCCCGCAGTATCTCGTGCCGTGTTCGCGGCTCGTGGTTCCGATGTACCTTACAAGGATGACGCGTGAGGTGTGTCGTTTGTGTGTCATGTGGAGCGCTGACAATGTTACTTCGATGGCTATTAGTCGAGTGGCGTATATCCGTCCTCCCGTCACACATGCAGCTGCACTATGCGACATATACGCGGCATATGGTGGATGCTTTTACGGTCACTTAACGGCATACGGGAGAATTTTTTCACTCGCTTACTATGCTATTGTTGTGAGTAAAACACTGACCGCGAAAGTGGCGAAAAGCAGGCGGATAGACACAAGTTATGAAAACCTTGCAGGACCCCGAAGGGCAGCGGAAACCCGGGACAACGATTCGTTGTCGTTGTGTGAAACAAGCCGATACTGTTTCGGTGCAGACAAGAGATTGCAATATCTTAAACTAGGCCAGGGGTAGTAAGTCAAGGCGCCTCGCGGATTGTCCTTCTGTCTGTACTTTGCTTTTTGTGTCTGGCCTTATATCAAAATTACAAAAGGCTTCAAAAGGGTGAATAATGTGATGTCTTCTTCTCGGTCCTAGTCCGCCGGACAGGATTTCCACTGTCTCTTCTCGGGCCGCGATGCGGCGTTTAAAATGGGCATTCACCTTTAATTCGTACCCAATAGTTTAATTGGCATTTTTGGTCATTTTTCTTTTGTTCCGACCCCGCCTTAGATTCTTAGCATCTCGTAGGAACCCAAGATCTCACCTCCACGTCTTTCAATCCCATTTGACAGTCGGTGTGTACGTTTCCTTTTTGTTACTAGATTTGTTGTTGTATTTAAGTATTGTTCAGTTACTGATACGTTTACTCTCAATTAAGTACCAGTACAATTTCACCGTAANGGGGGGGGGGACAGAAGCTCCAACAAGCCGTTTAGGACAGAGAGTGAATACACATACTTTACAGAGATGCTGTATGAGAAACCAATGTGAGTTTGGAAAATTGAACAGTATAAATGTATTTTAGTAGACCTCAGCAATGGAATTATGATCAGTAGAAATGGCCATGGCATCGGACCTTTAAGCCGTTTTGAGTAAAAGCGTCAGCTAAATGAAATGTAACATCTATCATCAGCTGTACTCTCTAATAGAGGCAAAACATCCCCCAAAATTAAACATTACAAATTAAAGTAAATTCAGACAAATCGTATGAGATAAATCATGTTTGTCAATAAACATATTTCATCATTTTGAAGCATGTGAACTTGTTCAAGTGGAAACCCAAAATACATCTGAAGCCTTGCATAAGATGTCCCCTTCCAAAAACAAAGAGACACTTAGAAAATAAAGTGACCTTTACAGAAATGCAGATAAGTAGCTCATCATGACACAAGCAGTTCTCACACTTACAAAGTAAAAACTGTAAAAGCAGGAATGTAAGAATCACTCATCATTCTGTGAATTGACTGTAATATTTTAATCTAATCCGGGCAATTCAAGCCACCGTGGACAGATAATCATCCATCACACGCAGGACATGTCACACACACTATGCATTTAGGAGTCATTCAATATGTTACATGGCACTCAAAACATTTACACAGTTATTTCTTGAAATGTGAATGTCCTCATGCCTGATTAGATGACTAAGCCCCTCTTTGCATCAGCATTCAACTGGTAATGTTCTCTCCTTTATCATCAGGCTGGTAGAAAACTTCACCAACACGAGGGATACGAGTGAAATGAGTGATGCATGATATTTTACTGAAGAGGGCGAGAGTCAAAGACAGGGATAAAAGAAGAGAGGAAGGGAGATTATTTCCAGCCGGAAATAGAGAGTTTTGGTGAAACGAGAGAGATGGCTCGTGTGGAAAAAGTAAGAGGCTGATGGAGGTCTTGTTTTTGTGCACGGAGCCAAGGGTCGCTGCAAAAAGACCGAGACAGATTGACATATATCAAAAACATCATTCAAATGTTAAGCTCTCAGAATGAGTCATTCGACATTTGATGAACAATCCCCTGACACACTTCTGGTCCCCTGCTCAGTCTCACACTCAGAGGGTCTCTGCTCACATCTTCTCTCGCCTCCTCATCCACGGTAAGTACAAACTGTAAGAAGACACATTTTAAACCATAGCTGTAAGTCAAACCTGGGGTGAAAACTTCCCTTAAATCACTCGCAGTCGGATGTTAAGTGTTTTTATTGGTGGTAAGAAGATTTGTCTTTTAATCCTATATTGTATGTTATTGGTAAAGTGTATATACTGCACTGTGTAGCTTCACTGCCAGACTTTCTGTTTATTGTAAAAATCTCCAGTGTTGGAAGAAGTACTTAGTCTAAAAATACTCAGATACAAGTAAAAGTCCTGCTATCAGGTAAAAGTATTAGAATGTACTAAAAGTGCCAAATGTAAAAGTACTGGACCATTTGAGAATCATATTTAGTAAATAATTGAATTTTATTTGTTAATACATTCATGTTTTCATCACTTTTGAAGCTGGTAAAGGTGGGGTTCATCTTAACATTATTATATAAATAAACTGTAGGATAGCCTGACTTGCAATGCATAATTTTAATACAAATAATGATCCATGTCTTTTATAATAATATATCATAATGTATTGGTTAAATTGTATTTTGTATTATTCCTAATCTGCAAAGTAGCTCAAGCTGTAAAGTAAAAAGTAGCATTAAGTAAAAATACTTAAGTATCTCAAATGTGTACTTAAGTACGGTACTTGACTAAATATACTTAGTTACATTTCACCACACTAGGACTGTGTTCTTTCACTCAATGCCTGTTGAATATATTTACCTCCTCCTCCTCCTCTCTTTTTTCTTCTTCTTCCCAGATGCAGCCACTTTGTTATTTCTCTCTCCTGTGCACTCTCTCTTCCCTCTCCTCTGTGTTGTCTCTACACTGCTCTGACAGACACTATGCCTGGCCAGCGGTCACACCTACGTTATGCTGCGACAAATGCGCGCCAGGTACAAAAATCATAATGTCTCCTTTACACATTTCAAAGTTTAGATGCAAACAGACAATAACTTTTAAGTCGTGTGTGTATTCCAGGTGAGCGTATGGTTAAGCGTGACATACTCACTTGTGTACATGAGTGTGGACCCTGCAAGAAGACACTGTACAGGGATACCTACGATGAGAAGCCGAACTGTGAATTTTGTGGACATTGCAATAAATGTGAGTATTTTCACAGCTTTTCTGTTGGATGTGAGAGAGGCCTGAATTGGGTCAAAATGCTACGACACAGAAACAGCTTCAGTGACAGCATGATTTCATAATGGTTCATAAGATGTTATATATTAGTTTAAAGGGGTCCTATTATGCTTTCTGTGGTTCCCCTTTCCTGTAGTGTGTTATATGGTGCATGTAAATGGTCTGCAAAGTCTAGCATCCCAAAGTTTGTTTCCTTCCCCAACATAGTGACATCACTAGGTAACACTCCACTTCTGTAGGCTAGCGCTCCTACACATTGTACGTGATGGGCTAAGGGGCGGGACATCTCTAAGCGGTTGTCCAATCACAACAGAGCCTGCCTAAGCTAACCAATCAGAGCACACTGGGCTCTGGTTTCAGACAGAGGGTGAAAGGAGGTGCTGCAGCACAGGCAGTATGAGAACACTAAAGAGCTTTTTGAACATTAAAGCATGGAGACATGTCAGAGTAGAGACACTACATACTAACCTGAAATTTGCAGAATAGGGCCTCTTTAATCCAGCTCACAGGGACTGATTCTTGCACATACAGGAGATTTAAACCCTCATTGTTCAACAGTTTCCACCCTGATAATGCATGTATGAAAGCCCAAGAAACAGAAAATAAACATGTAACTTGATTATAAGACTGGATCATTAACATATACAGGTTAAGAAGAGTGTAGTCATCTTGAAGATGAAACAGAAACATTGATGTTTTGATTAGAAGTGATTCATCAATACTCTAGAAATACTGTCTGCTACCCCCTCCCTCTGGGTAATATTTTGGTTCTCATTTAGTTTGAAGTGAGTGATTAATCCTTAGTCTGGACTGGAGTCAGGTCCAGGCTTGTTACTCAACATTTCTTTTAAAGACAACATGCTTGTTACTCAACTCTGTCTTTGTCATGATTTCTGATAAGTTTGCCCAAAGAGACTCAAAGGGTCACAGATAGGAGGGGATTTCCCATCGTGTGTCATGGTGGGAGACAGTCAGAGAGAGAATAGTTGGGGTCTGAGAAACCCTCTGTGAAAAGGGAGGTTATTAGGGTGGGATTCTGCAGCATTAAAGAGGCCCTGTTATGTTTTAGGGGGAATTTCCCTTTCCTGTAGTGTGTTGTAGGTTTCAGTGCATGTAAATGGTCTGCAAAGACTACAATCCCTGCGTTCGCTCCAGAGGGAGTTTCTCTCCCTGAAACGCCTCCATTGGACTCCTTTGTTTACTTCCATAACATAGTGATATCACACTATTGCAGGGGTGTCAAACTCAAATACACAGTGGGCCAAAATAAAAAAATGGGTACTAGTCGAGGGCCGGACTGGTTCAATGTTTATTGCAAAACTTATTGAAATGAACTTATTGCACATTAAACCTGGAACTAACAAATCTTAAATTATTGCCTATAAAAACAACATTAAACATTAAATAATCAGTTGCATTCATTTCTTATGGCTCTATCTGCAGAGTCATTTCTTATGATTACATTTTCCCACAGGCCAACAACAGCTTCAAAAAAACTATTTCCCTCAAAGAACAAACCAAACATGCCCTGTTGTCTCAAGAAACAAAGTGCAGAAGGAAACATCCATGTAAACTCAGTGTGCTGCTGTGATGCTAGTTCAAGCAGATACTTGGCATCTCATCTTGGGTGCAAGTTCATCAATGTTTGTGTGAAGGTGTGCGTGCAATATACCGGCGGGCCAGATCTAATAGTAATTAGAAATTATCCTGCGGGCCGAAATTAAATCCACCAATGGCCTGATTTGGCCCCCGGGCCTTGAGTTTGACACATGTGCTCTATTGGCTAGCGCTCCAACCAATTGTACAGGATTGGCTTAGGGACCGGCCAGCTAACCAATCAGAGCAGACTGGGCTCTGGTTTCAGACAGAGGGTGAAAAGAGGACAGGCAGTATGAGAAAAAGAAAGAGCTTTTTGAACATTAAAGCATGGAGACATGTCCCAGTAGACGAACATATGAACCTGGAAATTAGCATAATAGGGCCCCTTTAACAACACCATTAGCAGCACGTGCTACCATTACCATTTTTTTTGGTCAATTGATTCATTCATAAACACAAACAAATATCGATATAATATGTAATATAATACTGCAAATCTGCACCAAAATGTAAGTCATCACAAGTACAGACAGGAAGAGTTTAAAAAATGAAAGACCATCATCTTGACGGGGAAAAAAGACCGAAATGTGGTAAACATCGGAAAGAGACTCAGACGCTAAGGCCTCTGCTAAAGAGGAGCAAAAACAGCCTGTTGTGCTTATTCTTAAATGTCACTGTGAACACAGAGGGGAAAACACAAGTCTGTGAGTTTGACTTTCACGTCTGCACCTAAACGTTCTCACATAATGTAAGGGCAAGCCTGTTTGGATTCAATGTGTACAGTGCAGCTGTCAACAAACCTTTTACACTGCGGGTTTTAAGGTGGGTGTTGAAATGTCAAATAATATGCCAATTAACGGCAATGGAAACTAATTCATGTGGAAATGATTTAACCCACACAAGAACCTCATGCACTGTCGTTGCAATACAACAGTGATGATACTTCAATACACTTTGGTCTTCATTGGATTGATGTTTGTAAGGATTTGGGTGTGCAAAAAGGAATCATGCCACATATTAACTCTTAAATGATAGATGTTTACTTCCAGTGGTGGGGATTTTTTTTACTGGGTGAACGGGGCGGGGGGAGACACGATGGACGCGCTCGTGAACTGTCAACGGGGGGGGGGTACCTCTGTGTCGCCTGTCAGCTCAACATGATGCCGTTTAAACAATATAATAATAAAGGGCGGTGCCGGCCGTCAGCGAACCGATCCGGCCTTTCTGCGCGACTCAAATGCGGGACATAGTCTCAATTTGTGGGACACGGGACAATTAATAAAAATGCCTTGTGCAGTCCTGCACAAAGTGGCACACCTGGTCACCCTACACACACACACACGCTTCAAATCAAGTTGCATAAATGCTTGAGCTACGTTTTTATTATAATTACTGTGAAATCTGCCTATTATGTTTTCGTCATTATTAAAACAAATACACACTTAGTTGCAACTGATAACACTGGCAATGATTTTATATTTATTAGACTGTAGGAAAAAAATCATGCTTCAAATAAGTGTGGGTACGGCGTACCCCGGCGTCCAACGCCCACTACACCACTGTTTACTTCAGTATAAGGTCGTACTCTCCTGAGGCTTTCCGGACGATTTCTTTTTTTAATTGTCTGTAAATTATTCAGTTTTAAGAGTAAACATCTTTGCATTGAATCTGCAGCAACTCTCAAGCTTTATACTTCATTCTGTCTATTTCTGTTTGATTCATATCCAAGATAAACACGTGTTGGAATAATGGCTATTTGAAGTCCTCTATTTTATTATATGGTTCATCATGGGACAGCACAGTAAAAGGCAAAACATCAAAATGTTGAAATGTACTACTTTGAGTCGATATATACAGCCTTATTAAAATAATATTACCATACCTTGTCAGGCGTAAGGTTATATATTGCAGAGTTTATGATAATCTAGTTTAAATCGTGTTTGTGAAGTCCTTTTAATGCCAGTTTTGGGAACAGAGGAGTATGACTGTGTATGACAAGAATGCATTGAAGATAGTTCATGTAAAATACGTCTGATACTGAAGTTCAGTGAAATGTAACCACTCCCATCTGCAGTTCTCTCTGAGCAATAGCCCTAAATGACACAAAATGTAATTATGGTTGTGTTTGTTGTAGTTTAATGACTATGTTGGACTGGTAAGTGTTTTGTAATGACTACAGGGACCCATACTATTGCTATTTGTGAGTTCATATCGAAGTATGCTCGTAAAAACATTTAGTAAAAGGGTTAAATGTGCAATCAAAGTGAAATACGGCTTCACTGAGTAATAACAGTTGTGTCTTACGTTACAAATATCCTTCAAAAGTGAGAATAAAAACCGTCCTGTGACTGAAACCCGGAATCTTAACCAGCCGTGCCCAGAGTGTGACTCATTCCTCATTGTCTGATTCATGTCATGTTTTACAGGCAACCTTAGTGCATTTGGTTCATCACGGACACACTGTTTGTAGTTATAGTAAAGAAACCATGACACTATTCTCTGCATCTTCTTATAGCAAACATGGCGTATGCTTCAAACTGCAACTCCACTCACAACGCAGTGTGCCGATGTAACGCCGGCTACAAGTTCAGAGATGCATCCCGCAAACAGTGTGTGCCGATACCACCAACCACCACCAAACCTACATCTGCTCCACCCACTACAGGTGAGCCTATCTGCGTGTCAGCTGTACATTAAAAACTAACTAACGTAATAAAAGACAACCGTTTCCCAGTCCGTTCACATGCACAGGAATGCACCATTCTTGCAGAAAAATACACATATTTTCAGAAAAGAAACATAAATAACATTTAATTTGTTGCTCAATTGAATTCGACATATATTACGGAACAGAGCAGGTTGAAAGTTTACAAAGGAATCCACTAAATTAACAGAAACAACATATCTGGTTCAGTTTCTGATGCAGTCTGTTGTTAAAGGTAATACGTTTGATGATAATTCATGAAAAAAGGGAAGAGAAAACAAAAAAATTCCACTTTTTAACTGCTTTGCTTTCAATCACATGACACACATCTCACCCAGCGTATCACTGCTTTGGGGTGGTACAGACTGCAGCCCTAGTGGGAATATACACAACACATTACACACACAATACATAAGCATTTTTGTAGATTATTTTAGCAATCTGAAGTTAAGAACACATTATTTGATTAAGTTCAGTGACATTGCATCTACTTACATCTGTACTTATCTATATACTTTGTCTAAACCCTACACCTTAATTGTTTTCTGTTATATATATTTGAATTGAAAACGAATGCACTTTATTACTCTTTGAGCTTTCTGGTTGGATGCAAACTGCATTTCGTTGTGCAATGACGATAAAGTTGAATCCAATCTATTTTTAAAGAGAACAAGTTATTGACAGCTGATAACCAAACATGTAGGAATACAATATTTTTGTTTTGTGCAAATGTTATTATACTGCATTAAAGGGAGAATTCTGCACATTTGATGAGGATATCCAATCAGTGTTGATGAACAAACTCCTCATGCAATGCTTCGACTTCATTTACCCTGAACACTGATTGGACATCCACATTAAAAGCACTTCTTCACAGTGTGTTCTTCTTATTATTATATTCTTAAAATAATATATAGGTGTCTTTTCTCTTTTGAGGCAATAGTAGATATCAAAGTGGATAAAGACTTCTTTCTTACATGTTTTGCTATTTAGCTACTCTTTAAATATTTTTCAGTTTCCGTGGTGTTAGTTCACACACGCACGCACGCAGACACACACACACACACACACACACACACACACACACACACACACACACACACACACACACACACACACACACTGGGTGACAGGAGTTAATTATAAACCATTTTGTGTATTTACATATCGGGACTTCCTGATCAGATAAAATAAAGGAGTGAGCTCACGATCTAATCTGAACCATGTAAAGTCAAATGTTTCCAATAAACTCTGTCTCCCTGCAGTCCTGAAACCTGGCCTCACTACAGCCTGGCCGCCTGCTCCACAGCTCAGAGGTAAAGTTCTGTCTGTGCCAATCAAACAAGGAAATAACTGAACTCTCTCCAGTGTATTTCATTCTATAAATGTCTCTCTCTCAAGTTCTTACAGATACCGTGTGGTTCCTGGTGATTATTGCCCTCCTGTGTGCAGGACTTGCAATCGTTTTTGTCGCAAACATAAAGCCCTTTCTGCACTGGATCAAATCCATGAATGGTTAGTCATTAACATAATGCAGCAGATAACCCTGAGTATACACACAAAGGGAGTGCACTGAGAGTATCATTTTATGTTGTGCACACATTAGTTTTAAAATTAAAGTGGCAACTACCTCGTATTTTTACCTGAATACTTAAGATATCTTCCCTCTTTCTGTTGTTGCTCAGGCTACTTTTTAGCTAAAGAACCTGCACCGGTACCGGCATACTCCGAGGACGAAGAAGTGTCCACGCCTATCCAGGAAGTGGTCGGGAAATGTGAATGTGTATGAGTGAAAGAAGAGCTCCAGAAGATGAACATTTACTGCAAAACATCTCTTTGGACATTAAGGGCAAACGTCCCTCGGCCCATGATAGAAATGGAAGAACAGATTTCAAAACTGCTACTGTTTTCCGGGGCAACTTGACTGTCTGACATCTGTGACGTTAAGATGATGAATAGGATTGGAGAACTTCAAAAACCAAATGTGACGCTGTAACTGTGCATGAGTTCGAAACTGTGCCGGTGGTATGTACTATGGTACATTTATAGATGTAAATATAAACAGACTTTTAAGATTTTTCAAATATGAATGTTTTGATTTCTTTATATTTCTCAGCTTTCTTTATTCTGAATAAAGTTTTATTGTAACCAAATCGAGTAATATTCACGTACAACATCCAGGTCTGACACTTTTAAAGAGAGCAGAGTGAAGAGTATTTACATGATAACTTACACAGGAGATCCCCTCCAGCTGTTCTTCCCAAAGTTCAAGTGTCTGGTGTGCTTGGACCACATTTCTTCCCAGAAGCTGCAGATAACAATGTCTCTGCTGCATGACACTGGGATCCCTTCACAGTTTGCCAAAGGCTCCACATTCATCTGTTCTGTAGTTACTTAAAAAAAGTCTGGATGCCGGCGGTCGCAAACCACCGACATAAATCGTCTGGGATATTTAGGACGCGTTATAGCGATTCCTCTTTGGACACATGGCATTCTTTTCCTTGCTCCTGGGAGGGAAAGAAAATGCTGTCAGCCTCTCCGCTCCCCTCCTCCTCAGAGAGATGGATGCTGGGAGAGGATGTGGGGTGAAACACAGGACAGCCTCTCTCCTCTTCCTCTTCCTCTTCGCTCGTCACTCTCTCGGCCGTCTTCCCACAATGGACCATCGTTGGACCGACTTGTCCTGTAAACTGATTGAGGAGGCCGAAGATAACCGTCCCTGGATTATAGACGTGGACTGGAACTAAAGAAAAAACAAACAAAGAGTGGACGTTGTCATTTACCCGAAGAACACACATTCATAACAGGAGCACACCTGCATCTTTCGCTTGTTTTATTTTCTTAATGACTCCACAAAGTGAGTGATGTATTTCCCATGGATGTTTTAGTTTCACTCATCAGTACCCTGATTGGCTGCAGAGAGGCCGGCCGGCGGCTGCTTGGCACTGAATGAGTCTCTGGGCGGCGGATGAGTCGGTTCCTGCGGCTTGTGAGAAGCATCTCCTCCTCCCTGAAGAGAAACATGTCTGTCAGTGTGAGGCAGGCAAACCAGAAGGGATGAGATTTATGTAGAAATATGCACGAATGAAACGTGGAAACTTACCTCACTGCATAACTTTGCAATAGCTGGAAAACAATAGAAAACACATGAATACAAAGTCCGTTTTTCACACATGAAGAAGCCGATGACACATTTCTAATCAGTTGTTTCTTAAACATGACAAAGACTGTTGTATTGTTTTTGAGGTATAACAATGGTTTCCAAAGGCTTACATCCAGCACAGGCATAATGAGAAGCATAAAGCACTCTTTGAACATTAAAGGGGCCCTAATTTGCAAATGTTCACCATGTAGTTAGTGTCTCTACTTTAAAGAGTCCTCTCCTGCTGATGTTCAGGTGTATATCAGTATGTAGTGTCTCTACTTTAAAGAGTCCTCTCCTGCTGATGTTCAGGTGTATATCAGTATGTAGTGTCTCTACTTTAAAGAGTCCTCTCCTGCTGATGTTCAGGTGTATATCAGTATGTAGTGTCTCTACTTTAAAGAGTCCTCTCCTGCTGATGTTCAGGTGTATATCAGTATGTAGTGTCTCTACTTTAAAGAGTCCTCTCCTGCTGATGTTCAGGTGTATATCAGTATGTAGTGTCTCTACTTTAAAGAGTCCTCTCCTGCTGATGTTCAGGTGTATATCAGTATGTAGTGTCTCTACTGGGACATGTCTCCATGCTTTAATGTTCAAAGGGACATGTCTCCATGCTTTAATGTTCAAAAAGCTCTTTATTGCTCTCATACTGCCTGTGCTGCAGCACCTCTGTTCACCCTCTGTCTGAAACCAGAGCCCAGTCTGCTCTGATTGGTTAGCTGGCCGGCTCTGTTGTGATTGGTCAACCGCTTAGAGATGTCCCGCCCCTTAGCCTATCACGCACAATGTGTTGGAGCGGCAGCGAATAGAAACATGTGTTTCATAGTGATGTCATTATGTTACAGAAGTAAAAAAAGGGGTCTTGAGGTGTTTCGGGCAGGGTAGTACGGCCTTTAGATTTAAGTCTTTGCAGACCATTGACATGCACAAAAACCTATGCAACGCACTGCAGGAAAGAGGAACACTAGAAAAGCACCATAGAGAGACGAAGTCCCCCCCTTTCCGGGGGAGCTCCATGGGACCGTATTTTCGGAAAAAGTCTTTTTCCGAAAATACGGTCCCATGGAGCTCCCCCGGAAAGGGGGGGACTTCGTCTCTCTATGGTGCTTTTCTAGTGTTCCTCTTTCCTGCAGTGCGTTNTGAGTCAGGTCACCCCCACCCTCCATGAACACAAAGGACAGACCCCCTGCTGGGCAGCATGCACAGGTGGCTCTCATTACCTCAGAGAAACGACCTGATGCCTCAGTGCCGAGGCTTAACTGTGGTCGGGTTTCATCGTTTGAATGTCTGACGGTTCTTATCATTATGGGCAGAGACGTGCTCTAGTTAATAATGCAGCGCCTCTCTATAGAAGTCTGAGAGTGTGTGAATAGCTCACTCTCGATCCACGGTAAGAGAGCCAGAAGCGCCACATCACTTTTGTGAATGTCGCGGCGTCACATTGCTTTAATGAGTCTCCATGATTGCCGTTAATCATTCACTCCCGCTGAGATCAGGGAGCTAATTAAAAGCCTTTGAATGCCAAATGCAAAGTGTGTTAATTAACTGAGACTAACACTAAAGCACGAGTATTTGGAAATGTTAGAAACCGACTGCAAATGCTACAAGATCAAATAAGATACGTTTTCACCATGTTCCCCCTCGTTAGGCTCTGTTATTGAACTCTCACCTGACTGTTCTAGGCAAGCCAAGTGTATTTATAGCACCTTTCAACACAAGGCAATTCAAAGTGCTTTACAACAATGAAACACATTAAGATAAATGGCATTTAAAAACAGCCAAGATAATAAAATAAACATTAAAAGACTAAATACTTGAATAAAAGTTACAGTGCAGTCTAAGATGTGAATAGCTCAATTAAAAGCAGCGACAAAAAGAAAAGTGTTCAGCCTGGATTTCAAAGTAGTCGGAGTCGCAACGGCCCGGCAGGTTTCTGGGAGTTTTTTTCCAGATATTTGGAGCATAATAACTTCTCCATATTTAGTTTGACTCTGGGGACAGAAAGCTGACCCTTCTAACCTTATAGCTTCCCAAACTTCTGTTATAAATAAAACACACACACAACTCACCTGATGCTGACAGATCTGCTGCTGCTGATGCTGGATGTGGCTTCTCCTCTGCAGTTATATGGGCTCCTCTCACCTGTGTGCAAATCAGTCAGGATCAGATAGACGCCTCCCTCCAGCTGCAGAGCCTTGTAAGGAAACCACAGGCGCTTTATTATTCCTTACCATGTCATAGCAGGAGAGGCATAACTGTTGTAAAACCAAATATGACCATTTATGTGCAAGGCTTGGAAGCTAGCATGATTAATACAACTCTGAAGCCACATAAGGGATCATATATGACATATTCATGACACATGCTGATTGCATTTCACAAAAACAGCTCAGTGACAATTAGCCTATATCAACAAGTGTAGCCACTAGTTCTGTTATAAAGTTTAATTTCATAACTGGACACACTGTACATTTTACATTCATATTTAATGCCATATTCCATTCCCTACACGTAAACAATATCCCGTTTTATATTGTGTCTAAAGCCCTAAAGAAATATGTTTAATGTTCACGGTCTACAGTATATTTCCTACTTTTTAATGCTGTTTTAATTCGATTTTTAAATTCTCGAATTGTTTATTTCTACTCTTTAATTTCTACTTATGTGCTTTGTTTAGTTTTTAATGCTTCAGCAACACAAACAATTCCCAATTTGGGATCAATAAAGAACGTCTTATCTTATAATCTTTATGTAATCTTACAGCTACTAGTTGTCAGGGTTGAGCGAAGCAGGCAGGACCCAAATGCAGGTTTAACAGAAAATACCTTTATTTCAAGGCTACAAGTAAACATACAGAGCAGGGGGGTATACTACGAAGCTGGTTCAACCTAACCTGGATATGTTTTGCGTTCACATGAGAGGGGTGGTATTTGGAGCATTCGACCAATCACAAACATGGACAAGCGTACTGACAGCGCAGCGTCATACTTCCTGAACTATAATATTAGACAAATATGAAGAAGTTAAACTTTAAACATCCATGACTTAAACACTTTATCCAGGATCAAAGCCACATAGCTGCACCTGCAAGGTGAACAGCTGGTAACAGAAAAAGTGTTTGAATGCGTACATTAACAGGTTTATGATATCACTGCCCCGTCTAAGACACGATCTGACTTTAATTACATTTGTCTCGAGTGTTTCTTCAACTTAATGTGTTGCTTAAAATAATACTTCTGCATACAGTATGTGACACTGTGAGTGTTGCACGGCCATATACGGCTCAGCTGACTCAGATAAGGAGATATATGATACATTATGATGTGATATGCCGCGGACTGTACTTAATGTTACTCTGATCCGGTTACTTATGTTGTGGCAGATATTTAATTAAGCTTTCTTAACGCTAATGTTATAATAGTCAGATTGCTCTGAAGATGGGAGGTGATATTCTATTAATGTTCACGTTCACACAGTCGATGATTTTTGCCGGCCGTCTTTCCTGCAACGGCAGCTTTTCTGTATTTCCTTTCTCCTGTAATATGACTTGATCGCTTTAAACTCTGCACACTGAGCTCTGATTGGTCAGCAGGCTGAGTTGAGCTCTTAGCCTGCAACTTAACCTGCTCCGGGGCAGATTAGCCTCACAGCATAAGTTACCATGGAGATCTAGCCTGCTAAAAAGAGAACCAGCTTCGTAGGACCGGAAACCCCGAGTTTTCCTTGAAGTTAGCCGGCTAAGCGAAAATCCTGCTTCGTAGTATACCCCCCAGGTGGAACTCAAGTCTGATTTAAGAGTTGATTATATTAAACTTCATTCATCCACATGTTGCTGTAGTTGTAGTTTTCAAAAGTTGTTGAAATGTTTCTTTAGAGGCCAGCAGTGTTTAAAGAGTCTTTGGACAATTCTCTTCCCATATTTGGAAGCTTTGAAATACAATTGTTACTGCATATCATTCAGCTTTCAGCAGGCAGACTTAAAGTCAAGGCAGAGGTTTTTTTCGGGTGGTCATTTGGTGTAATGTTGATGCAATCTCCATCAGTAAATAGCAAACAACAACATTTATATTTTTATTTTGTA